TTTTGTTGACATGAAGTGGAAGATCACTGACTCCCCCTTTCATTTCCTGTACCATGCCTTCCGGGGCAATGCTCTCCAACAGAATTCAGGATAAGGACAGCACAATATGAAGCACTTCTGTTAGAATTAAGTGAAAAGTGATGGGCGAATGCAAGTTAGAAGCTGTCCTATGCTAACCCAGTGAGACCCAGTGTAGCAATAGAGTCACTGGCTGCATAGCCAACAGAAAACTCAGATCCGGCTTTTCGGGTAGTATTTGGTGGGACCTTGTAACCAACACTCTTTAAGCCACCTATTGCCTAACTCTAAGGTGGTGTAGAAGTTGTGACTGTAACAGCACTTTTAGGGTGGTGAAGCAGTAATAATAATGAGAAGAATTTTCTTTCAAAAAGAAAATGGACCATGCCCTACAGAAACCGCAGCCTTATCATTGGCCCTGAAGGGCTTTCTCTTTGGAAGGCTCTCTCCACAGAGTTGGCTGAGTCAAGAGCTCTGGCCACAATAACAAACGACATCTTCAAGTTTCCAAAACCAAACCCTACTGCTGCCTTTAAAATATTCATAGGCACAATTACTCACCCCGAGCTGCCAGGGAGTGACTTACATTTTATTTTATGACCCTAGAAAGTATCAAAGCGTTGGTGAAACAAACTGATCAGACTTTTTAGGCTGAGCGAAGATAGTTGCAGTTAAAGCAAAGGTAAGTATATCTTATTTATAATTGCTATGGATGTATGCAAACCTGTGTTACAGAGGCACAGTGGATACTTGTGAGTGATGAAATTATGATCGATTTGGGCAACTTTTCCATATTTTTCTTTACTTCTATGTTTCCATATTTTTCTTTTTCTTTCTGTATTTTCTTCTGTGAACATACATTTTTCTTTGGAAGGGGACTGCAATGAAGGAAGAGCAAAGTATTTTTGTTTTCCCCATTAAAAAAAGTCAGATGACCCAAAAAGAAGTGTATGTGCACAACACACAGGTACACACAAGTTTAAAAACACACATCTGCCAGAGGCCACTTACTTTCTGTGCCTAATTCCAACCTTTTCACTGTAAGCAGGGAAAGCGAAGAGCCCCACCTCCTAAGTGACTAATGACTTTCTCTCTTATTCAACACTCTTCTAGTGATTTTATTTATTCTTTGGGTTAAGGAAAGAAGGGAAAACAGAAAAAGGATGAAATCCACAATGTCCAGGCCTGACTCAAGTGGAAAGGAGGGGCCCGCATGTCCGATTTCTCCTGAAAGCCACCTCTGTTCTCTGTTCTCACAGCAGACACATGAGTGACTTATTGCTCCCAATTGCCTTTTAGTTTGTAATAAAGTTTTCAGCAACTCTTTTTAGCAGCTGTAACCTCTGCCCCTGTAAATTCAGTCTCTCTCTCTCTCTCTCTCTCTCTCTCTCACATACACACACACACACACACACACACACTGACTTCACTTTGTTCTTTCTTCACAGAATGCCAACTCATAAAGCTTTCATCAAGTCAACCAGGTGGAAAAATCCCTTTGTTGAAAGATACATTCATTCAGATCTGGAAAGGAGAGGAGCCATTGGGTGGGAGAGGGCGTGGCAAGCTAGGTAGGGAGAAGCAGAGAGTTTGCCACCAGGGCTGCTGGAAAGTGCTTTCTGTGTGGGGAGGTGGGAAGGAGCCCCACAGGGGCGTGCCCACTTGATGAAAGGTCTCCTCTCCTCCGCACGCCCTGGCTGCCAACATCCACAGAAGCTGGCAAATCTGTCATTGTAGGAGTGGGAACAGAGTTCATAATAGACATGTTCAAAGAAGTAGAGCTTTGGACCTAATACCTAATGATGATAAGAAAGCCTAAATCAAGTCAGGCATTCCTCCCGAGGTTGCACTCTAGTCTCTTGAGGGCAAATTGGCCTCTCCTTCCTGTCTGCCATGATCCACTCACCCTGCCTTTGATCCCCAGCACCCCCAGCCTCCTCGCGTACTCAGTAATAACCAGCAAGAACACTGGAGCCGTCTAGGAGGGAAAAGGCTTGCTGGAAGAATAATGTGTTGGGGCGGAAAAGGCCTAGGGAATGAAGACCACAAGGAGCAGCAGAGTAAGAAGTTGTAATACCTTTTATTTCCAAGGACTAGTGTCGGTACATAAAATTTTAAGATTTGGTCCAAAGAAGTTAAATACTTTGCTCGAACACACAATGCTTATAGGTTAAAAAACAAGTGTTGAAAACCAAATCTTTCTCAACTAAGCCACCAGCCATTACTAAAAACTTAAATTTTGAGGAGGTGTTGTCATGTTAATAATGAAGTCTATACATGGAGGGAAGTTCTCCCCAGAATGAGGAAAAAAAGAACAGACTGATGATGAAGTTCTACAAGGGGGCACACTTGGGGCCAAAGAGAAGACTAACAGCATCAAATTCTTCCTCCTCTTGACGTAGCCCAGAATAGTCAGAGAGCAGAGCCTGGCTGGACAGTGAAATTTGGACCAATTTTCATTGAATCATCTCACTTATCAGAGTTTACCAGGGGCAAAACTAAAACTGTAAAAAGATCATCAACTGTCAAAATAAGAAAATTACTGAATGCTTCCTCTTGGAAATTCTACATTTCCTATCATTAAAAAATCTTTTCATTTCCCTCCTCTGGTATCTATAAATAAAATTAAGCTTAAAATTCAGTTTAGAAGATCACTGAAGACCCAGAACTCATCTCCACTTGATTTATCTCACTAGAATAAATAGCTCCATTGAGGAAGGAGATGATTGAGTTTGGTTGTATTTCTCTTATTTAATTTGCTACTCAGCAAAATTTAGGGTAACTTATTATAGCCCAAGCATTTTTAATGGTCATACAGGACATAGATATTAATAACACACAGTTGCTAACCTCAAAGAACTGGTAGTACAGTTACATGATCTAAAAAAGTAACTTCACGTTCCTTAGACTCAATTTGCTCATCTATAAAACAGAACTATCGTCATCTCTTTCTCAGAGGCTAAATGCTCCCATAGGTGTCCATGCAGCCTGAGCTGCATTGCACTATGAAAAGTAACCAGTGAGAAAATTATTTTTACCTTTTATACACTGCTTCATTTAACAGTCAATAAGCTAAATCCAAACTATGTGGATGAATTAGGCAATTTTCTACCAAATGCTCAGAATTCCTATGAGACCACTAACACAGTATGATGAAATCACCTCTTTTTCTTAAAAAGAGGTTAAATCTTTAAAGTTGGGGAAATAGACTTACAAGAAGATGTATTGTTTGCAGTTTCAGTAAGGATTACATTATTTAGAACTATGTTTGTGTGCAAGTAACAGAAAAACCCTGAGAAAAAGTCAACTAAATAGGTAGTTCAGTTCTCTCTCACGTAAGAGAAGTTGGAAGTAGGCAAGTCAAAGACATACATGGTACTTTTGAAGTCAGGGTGAAATCCAGCTGCATTAAACCAAGGGATGGACTTTGTTCATTTGGCCCAAGGCAGCTGACACAATTTTGGTCATCACATTCATTTTCAAGTATCAGGATGGATAAGGAAGTTTAGGAAAACTTGCCCAATCTACATGTATCCCATTGGTCAAAGCTGAAACACATAGCCACACTTAGCTGAAAAGAGGCCAAGAAATTCAGTCTCTACTCAAGGACTAATATGCCTGACTAATGTGCCTAACAAATTTCCTTTGAGAGAAAAAATTAGAATAAATATTTTGAAGATATTTATCAGGTTTTACCACAGTTTTTACCATCAGAAAATACTATTAAATATTCATCAACAGCTCCTGCAGACCTTCCTTTGCTGAGATCTGATACTTCTCCGGACTAGGAAGACCCTAGATCCTAGCCAGTGGTTCTCAAAATGTAGTACGCATCATAATCACCTGGCCAGCTTGTGATAACACAGATTGCCAAGCCAGCCTCTGTGGTAATTTCTTGTTTAGTGGATCTGAGGTGGAGCGAGATGATTTGCACTTGGAAAAGTTTTCTGGTGATGACGCTGCTGCCTGAGAACCACACTTGGGAATTACCTTTCCATAGGAATGGAACAAAAGGGAAAAAGAAAAGAGCAAGACACTGTGAATATCAATTACAAGGTAGATAAATAGAGAGTAGGATTAATAAAAATAATAATAACATCAAACCATAAATAAGGATGCAAACTCTGTTAGGCAGGATGTGTAACCACCTATTAAGCCCCAGAACAAGACTTCTAGTATTGCAGAACATTCTGACACAGGACACAACCCAGATGCCATTGTGCAAGGGAGCCTGGGTGTGACTGTGACCTGACCTGCTTGACATGCATTTTGGGAAGCAACAAAGGTCACACTTTATTGCTCTAAATTGCTGAAGTCTGTTTCTTCCTCACATCTGACACATTATCTCCAGCCCTATTGGAGTTGCTGGCCTCTGGCCTGCCTGGATATTTGGCTCAGGTTTCTCCTGGGAGGCGGAATGCTGAGGCCAAAAGAGCCACAGCCAACTTTCTCTCCCCACAGACTCACAGAATCAGTAATCTGGGACCTCCTGCTTTCCTTGTCATCTCTCTGGTGCCCACTAATCATGACAAGTTTCACTAGTGGGGTTAGTATTGGTAGGTCAGAAACCTCTAACCTCTGATCAAAAAGCACAATGAGCAATATTCTCTGGTTGGGTGGTGCTTCCTCCTTCAGCACTGGGAGCTTCCTTCTCTATTTGCTGCTCATATTTACTTTCTCAAAGCAGAAATATATGCACGGCTATGCACACATGACTTTGACCATACCTTGCTTAATGCTTGCTGTTTGTATGCTCTAGCTGTTAGAGTACAACCTCTCCTCCAGGAAATGAGAGCTCAAAACACCCAGAGCAATACCTCACATCTGGGCAATCAGTGAGTGTTGGGTGGTTGAAACTTAGCCTGGGTCTGCCCACTACACACTTTGTGGACAGGACTTGAGATTCTCTGCTGGCCTCCCCTCTGGAAGCTCCAGCCTCATCTCCACCTGTGAGTGCCAGCAGACGCAGATTGTGTGCACATTCTCTCTGCCCCTTTCCTCATCTGAAAACATTGCTGCAGACACTGCACACTACTTTTGAAAGAGTGCCAGTCCCTAATGCAGGCCTTTGGCAGGGACAGGGAGAGATAAAAGGGCCAGAGTATAAATTGCTAAAGATTTTCTGTCCAAGAGGCATACCAGATACCTGAACTCTACCAAAGGAACCTCAAAGGTAAGAGCAATCACAAGTATTGATCTTTAACTAACAGGTCAGTGAATTTTCAATGCAGTTAGCTCACACCATTGTTCTGTGAGGTGTTAGCTCACACCATTGTATTCTGCATGTATAGAGTCAGACTCACGAAAGTACCTCTAACTCTGACTGGTAAGACAGTGAGTTGTTACCTCCCTCATAATAGTGGCCCATGGAAGGCTCCATAAAATGATGTACTGAAAGATCTTAAGAGAGGTGAAGAAAATAATGCTTTATTTTAATAAACTTCTTATTGATTGATTTCTTGATGATAGCCATTCTTCCTGGAGTAAGATGGAATCTCAGTGTTGTTTCAATTTACAATTCTCAAATGACTAATGATGTTGAACATTTTTTCATGTACTTATTTACCATTTGTATTTCTTCATCTGAGAAGTGTGCATCTCAGATGCCCATTTTTGGATTGGGTCTTTGAATTCTGGGGGCCTGATTTTTTTTAATTCTTTATCTTGTTTTTTGAAATTCTGTGTTGTTTCTAGTGTTTTTATTTTTTTTATTCTCTTTAAAAATAAATTTAAAATGAACAGTATCATACACACATACACATAAAAACTTTTTTTTCCTCTGTTTTTTTTTTTATTTTGGAATTAGAAACCTAGATTTTGGCCAGAAAACACAGGCAAATGAAGATTTAAATTCACCCATAGCTCAGGTGCCAGGCTATAGAAAATGAAATTAATCTATTTTAAAACTCAATTGGGCTTATGGAGATAGTTCTCTGTCTATTTGCCCTAATCAGCTGTATTTCTTTTTCAGTCTCGTTTGACTTTTCTTGCAACAGGGGTAAAATGCATGTGAAGAAGGAAAACCAGAAGGTGTGATGAAGGGACAGAAGGAATTAGAGGTCTCCTGCATGAATAGGTATGTAATTTGATTCACTGTTTACACTGCTGTTGAAGATAGTTAAACAGTTGTCCTGCTGATGACCTCTAAAATTGAGATTTTGGAGAAATTTCTAAAACCAAATAAACATTTTCTTTTTCCTGCAGAAAAGCCAGTTCGTTATAAACCATCAAAAATGTATGGCAACTTATTATATGCAAAATAATATACTGGCAATAAAAATATAGTTGGAGACAGAGCCTAGAGTATATAAAAAATGCTCTATTTTTAATGTTCCAGGTGTCAAATGGCACACACAATAATAATGTAAAAGAGAGATTACCATGGGGTGTGATGTTTGAGAAAGACTTCACATAGGTGAGATTCAAGTAGGGCCTCTGTAATATGTAAAATTTAGGTAGAGAAGAAGTAGTTATCATTCTAGGAAAAGAAAAGGTGTGAGATAGATAAGAGGAAAAGTAGAGCACTGGAGATTACTCTGTTAATAACTTTTTAGCAAAGTAATGAGGAGAATCCTGTAGGAAATTTTTGGGCAGGACGGTAATGTTAAGTGAAGATTTACAAAATCCCCTGGCTGCAAACTGATCAAAAGAAACAAAGAGAAGTAAAATAGAGAAAAATACTTTATTATTGTTCAATACAGATAATGGTCATCATTTTATATCACAAACTCTGAGAACTGTGTCAACTAAAATTGACACAGTTCAATTAGAATGACAGTTCAAGACTTGACAACCCTGCTATATTCAAGATTTCTATATAGTATTATGGGAAGAAGAAAGTCTATGTAATAATTTAAAAAAGACTCCAACCCAACTTTATTACAATGAAGACTGGGTATATGAATAGGTTATATATTATACATATACACTAAAAGGCCAAAATAAAACCCATTGCTCTACATAACTAATATGCACCAAAAAAGAGCAAATACCCTACCCTGATTTTCATCCCTTCCTGAAGTCACATGTTTTGACCCAATAAGTGGGATAGAAATTGTATATTTTTGCCTTTTTTTCCCTACCATAACTTCATAATGGTGGCACAGGCTGACTCGGCTATTAAGACAAACCCCTTCCTAAGATGGAGAATATGGTCTAAGAAAGAAACATGCCTAGTGTATTTGTATACACTACCACAGAAATGCCAAATGCACACCAACTTCTTCAGATGCTCAGGACTTCAACTTCTTACCTACTGACTAGCAAATTACTAATATAATCCTTCTAATTCATCACTTGGGCTTCAAGACAAAATTTAAAGGAAAGTTTCTAATAGCATATATGTACACAGTAAATGGAAAAACAGAATATGGGGCAAATAGCAAGCTCAGAAATGTTCTGTTATTAAGAAGCAATGAACAAGAAAACAGAGGAAGCACAGGACCTAGGCAGGAAACCTGCAGTGAAAAATGCATGCACATAAAACAAGTGAATATAAATTGTAAATTTTACATGAAGTTCATCCTCTCAAATAAGAATTAATGAGGAAATGTAAAGAAAATTTAGATTATTATGATCTAAATTTGATTTAGATTTTTTATGATTAAGAGTATTATGATCTTAAGTAAACTGAAAAAAAAAACAAACTATGAAACAAATAAAAAGAGGGAGTTAAGCACTGGACTAGGCTTTTTTAAAAGAGCCACTCTAAATAATCAAATAATTTAGCATGGTAAAGCTAGTGCATTTAAGTAACATAAGATACAACAAAGTCAGAACTGACAATACAATAATAGAATCAGAAACATGGTAGATAGGACCTTGCCAAAATAAAAACATCCAGACACTAGAGAAAAAAAAATCACAAAATACCCCAAACAGTTTATGCATGGGCAACAGTTAGGAAACAAATGTTTGGGTAGCAAGTGAGTTTTAAGAAGAAAACAGAACAAGTGGACTAATGGGACACAAACAGCAGCAAGAGATATAACAGAAAAAAACGTTCCTAAATGTAATACTTATAGATTAAAATAATTTAAACCTATAGATTAAAAAAATTTACCATAATTTATCAAAAGTCTCAAAAAATTTAAGAATATATCCTACTCAGTCTTGCGAAGTTCAAAAATAAAAATGTTATAGCCAGCCAAATGAAAGTAAACATAAGTGGAAATAGTGAGGTTTACCTAAAAACAAAATGTGTTTTCCAAAAGAAATGGCTTGATAGCTATAGAATTTTGAAAGGATGAGAAAATGTGAAACAAAATTTTTATATCTAACCAAATTTTTATTCATAAGTATTAACAATAGAAATATAAATTCAAGGGATGAAATATACATCCCCAGGCCAATGCAGTCAAAAATGCAGCTTAACAAAGAAATTACTTAAAATAAAGAGGTCATAAATAAAGAATATTTGAGAAAAGGTAATGCTGAACATTTAATCTATGTATACACAGACTTGGAACCAAGTAATTGTACTAATTATATTAGAGAAAAAGATTATAAGTATCTAATTTTTCAATGGCAAGTTATGTACTATAGAAAATAACAATTGAAATATAATTTAAGGTAGCATAAGGAAAGGCATACCAGAATATAACAGCAATATCCATATAAGGAACTCTAAGTGACCTAGTTTTTCCTCATTAGGAGGAAAAAAACAATATTATTTACTGTCTCAATTTTGTTATGTAACAATTATAAACTTGGGTGTATATATTAAACAAATCAAATATGAACAATCAGAAGAAACAGCATATAGTCTTCAAGAAATTGACCTGACAAAGAATATAAATACACGTGCAAGTTCAGAGGAGATGACAGCAGGGAAAATATGGTAAATAAAAATAAATAAGTAAAAATTTAAGAAATTAATAAATGGAGAGAAGGGAAAACCCACACACGCAAAAAAAAAAAACCCAGAAACAAAATAAGGCTTATAATACCAAATACATTTTATGAACATACATGTAACTTGATATTTATCTATTTATAGAATGACTGCTAGTTTAGGCAACTGACAAAAGGAAAACTTCAGTCTACACAAACCCGTTTTTAAAGAAGGTATTCGTGAAGATTGAAATTAAAATGATATGCAAATATGTAGCAAAAAAATGAAAAGTACAATAAATCTCATACAACTGAAACAGAAAGAACCAGGTTTTGGTAACTGTGTTCCAAAATTGAGTTCTCAGCTAAAGTACAAAAGAAAATGAATAAATATTCCATTTTATGGAAGAAGATTTAACATTCAGTGAACTAATAACTATCCTTTACTATTTGTGTTAAACAGAATAAAAATATGTAAAAGAAAAATCTGCATAAAACACAAAAAAAAATTTACTGAAGCGCTAGGAATGGAAAACCTCTACAACTTTCACAAATAAATATCACTAGCCATTAATATTCTAAGTAGATCACACTTGTTGTGAATCATGTAATCAATAAAATCATAATATACAGTATACAACTAACAAACAAAAATGCACCTACTTTTTGCAGGCACAGCTGAATTTTAAAAAACTGTTCATAAAGGATATGAAAAAAATTAATAAATTTCAAAAGTAACTCAACACCTGTTTTTATCACAGTACAACAAAAGAAGAAATAAATAACACAAATATAAATAATTGACAACCTGAAATATTTCAAACACTAAACCTTAGGCCAAAAAAATGTCAAAATCATAATTAAAAGATGAAATAACAATAAAGGAAATCCTCACAATCAAACTTACTGAATACAAATAAATTTATACTCAGAGGAAGATTCATAGCCTTAAACATTGTTACCGGGGCTGGGGATTTAGCTCAGCGGCAAAAGCGCCTGCCTGACAAGCGCAAGGTCGTGAGTTCGGTTCCCGGTACCGGAGAAAAACCAAAAAAAAAAAAAAAAAAAAAAAAAAAAAACATTGTTACCAAGCAAAACTAGTATAAATATTATTTACTTCAAAAACAAGTAGGCACATTTGAAGAAAATATATAATATAAATTCATACATATAAAACAAACCAAATGGATTTTGGTTTATGAATCCAAAGAGTAAAACAGACCAATTCACTAGCTGTCAATAAATTTTTAAAATGCAAATATACAACATGTAAAGTAATAAAGGGGATATTCATAGATTTAATAAAATTTAGATAACTATAACATTGTAAACATGTATCAAAACACCACACAAATATATACTTTTTGTTTTTATGTGTCAGTTTAAAAGTGTTTAATTTATGTTTTTAAAAACTATATAACAGGAATCTTTTGCTATTCTAGGCCTCTTCTGGTTCCAAGTGAATTTTAGGAATGTCTTTCTCTAGATCTGTGAGGTATACTAATGGTGTTTTAATTGGGATTGCATTGAATCTGTACAATTTTATGAGTATGACCATTTTCACAATGTTGGTTCTTCCTATCCATGAGCAAGTAATATCTTTCCATCTTCTGAAATCCTCTTTGATCTCTTTTCTCAGAGTATTGTAATTGTTACTGTATAGATCTTTTACTTCTTTTGTTAGATTGATTCCTAAGTATTTCATTTTTTTAGATGCTATCATGAATGATGTGGTTTCCCTAATTTCTCTCTCAGTCCATTTGTTGTTTGTGTACAGGAATACTATTGATTTTTGAGTGTTGACAGTGTATCCAGCTATGCTACTGAGTTTGGTTATTAAATCTATACGCCTTTTGGTGGAGTATTTGGGAACTTCTATGTACAGTATCATGTCATCTATGAATAATGATAATTAAACTTCTTCCTTTCCTATCCTTATTCCTTTTATTTCTCTCTCTTGTCTAATTGCTCTGACTAATACTTCCAGAACTATGTTGAATAGGAGTGGTGACAGTGGACATCCTTGTCTTGTTTCTGATTTTAAAGTGAAAGCTTTCAATTTTTGTCCATTTAGCATGATGTTAGCTGTTGGTTTGTCATAGATGGCTTTGATCAAATTGAGGTAAAGACCATCTATTCCTATTTTATGTAGATTTTTTATCCTGAATGAGTGTTGGACTTTATCAAAAGTTTTTTCTTCATCTATTGAGATGATCATGTAATTTTTACCTCTGGCTCTGTTGA